TTGATTCATTTAAATACTTCCATTTTAAAAGATCTTTTATTCTCCAAGGACAAACTAAATCTAAAATAATGGCCAACATTAAAGGGACAGGGACACTTAGTATTTGTGTTATTTATCAGCTTCTGGATAATCAGGGGTGGGCTGATAGATAACATAAATAATGTAGTTAATCATGGATTCCATTGTGTAGGAATTTGTCCTGGTGAAAAAGAATCAGGTAGTTGGAATTGAGTAGCTTATTAATGACTGCACTTTCCTATTTCTCATGGCCTGAGTAATTTTCCAGTTTTTCCTCCATTCTTCTCTTTGATTTTTATGTAAAATATTAAAGTGTTCTTTCTTGCCTTTGGCCCAGTGATAAACACAAGACAGACCACTGAGAATCTTTGGTCTGGGAAAGAGTTGTAATCCTTTCTACTCATGTGGTCCCTTTTGGGAGCTAGTTAAAAATGCAAAACCTCAAGTCCCAACCCAGACCTACTGAATCAGAACCTGAATTTTTTAGGTTCCCCCAGATGAGTTTTTCATGTTAAAGTTTGAGGAGCCCAACTCAACCTAGAGTTTCCACTGTAACAGTAGCTTTAATAATGGATTGGGTGAGTGGTTAACCAGTAGATAACAATTAATAATTCTGATGTCCTAGTCACTTGCCTCCCCGGGTCTCAGTGTCCTCATCCATAAAGCAGAAGAACTGAAACAGGTGATTTCTAGTTCCCATGGTCGCTGAGATATTTCCAAACTCCTTTTTATTTCTGAGATTGTAGCTCCATCATAGCCAGGAGAGAAAGGATTATCCAAAATTGTAGGTCAGGTCATACATGATCCCTGCCCTCAGATATCTTGCAAATGGCGGGATAAAACTGACACATGTAAGAAACAACAGGGAAAATATCTATGTATATTATACTGAGTTTGACAGAGAGTTATACTGTGTCAACATGAGCTTGCATTCTAAGGAAAAGTCAATAAGAGCCTTTGAAAAACAAGAATGATTTATGCAGATGAAAGGGGAGAAACTGGGTTTTCTAGGACTTGAGGAATAGCACTAACCAAATACAGAAAAGAGTGGGGAAATGCCTCTCAATAAGTAGGGTAAGGCCAAATTGCAGGAATCACGACAGGCAGAATGGGAGTTTACATATGATGCAACCCTTTGAATGGAAAAACAGTATTATTAAAAAGGTATTGGGGACAGGAGTTGCCTGTCGGTATCTCATTGAGAACACAAGGTTAGAAAAGCCACTAGGAGTGTTGCCATGAGACATACTGACGTCCTAGGAAGAGCGTTTATTCTTCAAATAGCAACTAAAGCAGGAGGGAAAGGCCTGGTTGAGAGCACGATTTGAAAAATGGGTCATTAGAACGTGCAGACCTCTTGGCTATAGGTGAAGGAAAAGGAGAAGTGAGGAGAGAAAAGGCATTTATGTTTTTGAGGTCAAGAGTAAGGACCTGGCGTCAGAGAGACCTGGAGTGTGAATCCACATACAGCATATATGTGCCTGGAGCACAAGGGATTTGGATGTAGATTTGGGGTGTTTTTCTCAGTAGTTAAGAAATCGAGAGCCAGGTGAAATATGGAAAGAGAGTTTATGAGCAAAAGGACCTTACACAGGCCTTCCTTTCTTCCTCTGTAAGATAGAGAACTGGGGAGAAGGTGATCTAAGGTCACTCATTTATCTCCACTTGAGCACTTATTAACAGGGTAACAAGTGTTTTGTGATCATAAACAAGCTTTTCTTAGTTTCCTAACTAGGAAAAAGATTAATCTAGTTCAAAAGGAATTTTTAAATATTCACTAAATTGGTAGTTTTCCACTGAACTGTTCATGTGATCAGTAAATTTGGTTTCTTTTTGGTAAGTTGTATATATAATGTTAGAAGCTCCAAAGTGAATTATTTACCAAGTGAGACTTATTCCTAAAAACATATTTGAGTTGAGTTATTCTTACTAATTACTGTAAATAATTGAACTCCAGAATGCATTATTTAGCTAGGTTAAGCCTAATGAAAATTATTACACAGTCTCTGTAGTGATTTAGTATGACTGTAGTCTCTCTTCACATTGAGTTAGTAATGTAGCTGTGTCTGTTCCGAGATACTCCCTGTGGCTCAGAATCTCACTTTATTCTATCCCTCTCCACCATAAATTAGACACTATTATCATTTTATATTTTATAACCAACGCTTTATAAGATTTACTCTGTTTACACTAATGTCTTTATTTACTACTCTTTCTTGCATCCCAGATCATCCTTCTGGGATCACGTAACTTCTACCTGCTCCATGTATTTTAAAATTTCCTTCAGTGACATCTACTAGAGGTAAATACTAGGTTTTAGTAGTCTGAAAATGCCTGTAAAATGATCTTATTTTGGAAAGATACTTTTTGTTGAATTCAACACTGACAAATAATTTCTCTTTGCACATTGAAGACACTGTTCTTGCATCCATTGTTGTTGGAAATAAGCCTTCAGTCTAGGGACTGTTTCTTTGTAGGTGATCAGTATTTCTTTTCTAGCTCCTTTTGAATGCTTCTCCCACCCCGACCCTTTGGTCTTCTCTATGACTGATGTATGGATGGAGTTTCTTTTTATTTATCCTGCTTTGGATTCATTGAACTTCTTGAATCTGAGAATTGGAATCTTTTAGTAATTCTGAGAAGTTCCCTGCCAATATCTCTTCAAGTATTGTTTCTTTCCTATTATCTCTTTTATTTCTATCTGGAATTCTGATTACCTCCTGTAAAATTATCACATTTTCTTCTGTATATCCAATTCTCCTGTTTTTCTAGGCTGCATCTGGTTTTTCTCTGTATCTGTAGGATCAGTCCAGAGTGTTCACTGGAAGGATTGATGTTGAAGCTGAAGTTCCAATACTTTGGCCACCTGATGCGAAGAGCTGACTCATTGGGAAAGACCCTGATGCTGGGAAAGATTGAGGGCAGGAGAACGGGAACGACAGAGGATGAGATAGTTGGGTGGCATCACTGACTCAATGCACATGGGTTTGGGTAGACTCTGGGAGTTGGTGATGGACAGGGAGGCCTGGCGTGCTGCGGTTCATGGGGTTGGAGTCGGACACGACTGAGTGACTGAACTGAACCGAACTGACAGTTAGCATGTCTGATCTTATAGTTTCATTTACCCATTGTATTTCTCATTTAAATTTTTACATTTTAGTTTCTAGAAGTTCTGTTTTTTACTCCTTTTCAAATGTATGTGATCATTTTCTATAATTCTTGTTCTTTATTCATATATTCAGCTTTCTCATTTATGTTCTTAACATATTAAATGAAGCCATTTTATATTCTCTGTCAGAGCATTTTACTATCTTTGAGGATCTTATTCTGCTACCTATTATGTCTTTTGCTTCTCTTTCATGTTGCTTTATCTCCTTATGTAATTTGTAATATTTTTTACAATGAAATGCTTATTTTCCCAAGAGAATTACTTGAGATCTGGTTTGATGATGCATTCCTCCACAAATAATTTGCTTCTGCCAGTTATCTGGAGCCGTCACTCCACTTACATTAAATATTCTGATGTTTCTCAGACCACACTGAGAATGTGGATGTAGACCAAAATCTGTATGAGGGCCCACTTTTGTTTATAAATAACCAGAGGAGAATTTTTCCCCATCTACTAATTAAGGTTGCAGCAGGCAAGTTTCCTTGCTCTCTTCTTCTGACCTTATTTTCCTTCCCTTACACTTATTATTTCCTTCCTTACTTATTTTCCGTCCTTACACTTGAGAGTGGATCTATTTGAAGTATCTCAGCTTTATGTGGGGTCTCTCCTTATGCCCCCCATACTGCATTAAGCTATTAAAACAGCTGCTCAGGGTCTTCCAGGGTTTAGGAGAAAGCCTCAAGGCCAAAGCTTCCTTTGGTATTCCGTACTCCCTGAGATTCCAGCTTCCTCTTTGTTTAGGTATCTGAATATTCTCTTTTCATGCCAGCTCAGCAATGCATTGCAAAAGGCTTTTCAGTGCATTTTCCAAGTATTTGAGTTGTTACCAGATAGAAATGAAATCTTTATATAAACAAAGATTTAAATGAGAATATTTATATAATTTTAAAAAAAAGATTTAACATGACAGTTGAACAGTCTTATTTGACTCTTTGAGACCCCTTGGACTCCTTTGAGACCCTCCAGGCTCCTCTGTCCATGTCATTCTCCAGGCAATAATACTGGGATGGGTAGCCTTTCCCTTCTCGAAAGATGTTCTGGACCCAGGGATAGAACCTGGGTCTCTGGTATTGCAGGCAGATTCTTTACCACCTAAGCCATATGGGCTTCCCCATTGTCATTGTATGTATTTATAGAATTTTATTTATATATACTTACAATAACTTTACTTCTAGTTGCATATGTAAATACCTTGATATCTGCTATGCACTCTAATATTTTCAACTATTCCTTAAAAATAATTGGCATGACTTTTGTCACTTTTCTTTAAAAGATAAAGCAAACATTTGGTATGCAGTTAATTTAGGTTTAACTAAATATAATCAGCTGTTACCACATTTAAACATTCTCGTTACATTGTGTAGAACTGTAGAATTTTTCAAAACCTGCCAAAATAATAGGGTCACAGAAACAGTCATATATAGGTCCAGTTGTTATAAAGGAATTACTTATATTGAAAATGGTAGCAACATTTGAACTGTTGCACAAATGTTAAGGTTAAATATAAATATGATTTCCTTTAAGCAAAGAAGTCATCCTGGGGAAAGTTGTGTTTATACTGCATTTTAGAAAGTTAAATAATTTTAAAATTTATAGTCATTCAGAATTTCAAAAAAACCTGTTAAAGATGGTGAATCTCTTTATCTAATTAAGGTCTTCAGTAAAGCAATTGATTTGCCCCTTTTAAAAAAAATATCTTATTTCTTACAAGACATTTTCTTCAAGTAACTACACATATCATTGCAATCAGGAAAGACAAGCAGCTGCAGCCACCCTGCCCTTCCTCCCTAATCAATAGTCATTCTTTTTCTAGTATGTACGAGTATCTTTCGATACAAAACCTGATCTCCTCCTACACCTGATGACCAAGGAATGGCAGCTGGAGCTTCCCAAGCTTCTCATCTCAGTACATGGGGGCCTGCAGAACTTTGAACTCCAGCCAAAACTCAAGCAGGTCTTTGGAAAAGGTCTCATCAAAGCAGCCATGACCACTGGAGCATGGATATTCACTGGAGGAGTCAACACAGGTAATTGGAGTGGGCCAGAGGAGGACAGCGTGAGACTGCAAGATTGTTGTGACTGAGATCACTTTCTTCTAAAGTTAAACATGTTTACATATCCTCACCTCAGCCCCTACCTCTTTATGGCCACGGTTGCTGGTCATTGCTCCTTTCAGTGATTCTCACTCCTTCCTCTACCTAAATGATAACTGTTTTTGTCATTTCTCTACCAAGAATTACTAACACTTAAGACACAGACTGGGATACCTGACAATATAGAATTTATAAACATGACTGATGGAATTTGACAGGTTATTTTCAATACCTCAAATTGCCAAATAAGCATCCAATATTTTTTTAAGGAATAACTTTTGCTCTAAATTGGAGACTCCATACCTGTTCTCTAAGTGAGTTTAAGTTTGATGCAAGTAGCTTTAATTTTGGCAAAATGCTCTTTTCATCTAGGATAACAGCAAACTCCGGAGTAGTATGTGTTTATCATTTAAAATATTTCATTGAATCAGCTCTGCACCAGCAGAACATATCCCACTCTGAAGTCCAAGTAGTTTTTTCTACCTGCCAAACGAGTTTCTATGTTGTGATCCAGGGAGGCTGTCAAATCAATTCTTAAAAAGCCACTTAGAGTTAAGTGCTTATCTACAGAACATTGTGAATGTGCATTTGGTAATGGAATAGATGCCTGTAAATTGTTTTGACATGTTTCCCCAGAGTGAATCAGAAGTGCCAATTGGAAGAGACAGGTAATGCTGCAGTAAGTTAATTCAGACTTGTTTCAAGACTCAAAGTCTGCCCACATGGACACATTTAAAGTTAATGGGACATTCTGAACATAACCATGGACCAACTAGTTTTAAATAAAATGTTATCTCAATGTTGTTTAGTCATTTGTTTCTAGTTTAGATCAGGGGTCTCCAATCCCTGGGCCGCAGACCGCCTGTTAGGAATCAGGCCTCACAGCAAGAGGTGAGCAGCAGGCAAGCTTCATCTGTGGCTCCCCATCACTCCCCATCACTTGCATTGCTGCTTCCACCATCTCTCTCTCCCCATCCCCACCCCTGTCCGTGGAAAAATTGTCTTCTGCAAAATCTGTCTCTGGTGCCAAAAAGGTTGGGGACCGCTGATTTAGATGATGTTTAAGTGACACCTGCGCTCAGAATTCTTCTCCATATCTAGAATTTGTGAACATTCAGCCCACAAAAACATAGGTGCATTTCTGCAGTGAACTCTGCCAATTTCCTGTGCCTATCATTGTCATGTGAAACCCTGACTCAGTCTGTAAACCGACATGATCTTAGAATGACCTGCCCAGCCAGCTGTTTATGTTACAGTGATCAAATATCTACAGAACAGTTTTTTTTCTTGGCTGTTGAGGTTTTAAGCTCCAACTTCCACTCATAGTTTAACAGGCATCATTTGCCTATGATTATTCAGTCTTTTGCTTTCCTGACATAACCTGAAACTCCTATGAGAGCAACTTAAAAGTTTCTAAAAGAAATTCTTACTAGGGAATTCCCTAGTGTCTGGTGGTTAGGCCTCAGCGCTCTTACTACCAGGGGCCCAGGTTTGATCTCTGGTCAGGGAACTAAGATTCCAGTAAGTAATGCAGCACAGCCCGCTTCCCACCCACCCCCCACCCCCCCCCAAAAAAAAGGAAAAGGAAAGAAATGCTTATCTTCTGTTTGCAGGAACTTGGGACATTGTATATTGTTTTTCTTCTTTTGTGAAAAGCATCCAATATCAAAAGGAGAATTTATAGCATAAGGATTGTAAACCGAAGAGTTCACCTCTACCTCTCTCCAGGCATAGTGTTCAGTCCAGGACTCAAAGTGAGGTTCTAGTGGTAGCACACTCAGCTTGAGTAAGAGGTGATAATGAAATTGTGTTGGATGGAGGGAGGGGTACCATGAAGTTAACTTTCTTGTCCAGGACTGGACCCCAAAGGAGTTTTGCATATAAATAGGAAAAAAATTTAACACTAATATTGATAGCTTTGCTCTTGTATTTGCTTTTCTTTATCAATACTCTCTTTTAGAAGACTCGTAGATGGACGACCAAGTGATATTGATGCTCTTCTCAACACTCCCAGCACAACTGAACATGGATTAGTGGCTGTTTACACTACTCTGTTGTTTGATTTTTTTTAAAGGAGGCTTTTCCTGTTTGATCTTATGAATATTGCAGGATTGAGTTGCTCACACATGTCTGTTGTCTCCTGTGATTAAACTGCCTGGTGTGTTTTATGTGCTTGGTCGGTTCAGTGACCAGTTCCTGAGCCCTCCCTCTGTGCCGGCACCTGAAGCACCTGCAGAAAGTAAGACACTTACCTCCAACCTTCTCCTCAGTGAGCTTACTCTGAGCAGAGACATTCTTTCTCACGTGTGATTATGAACCACAGAAGAATATGTTCAGTGACATACTGAACTATTCAAAATACACCAGCTGCAGCCCTGTTCAAACGGAGAAGAATTCAAACCCAACTTAGCTTTCATATAGGAGATGGCTCTAGGTGTGAGTTTTTCCTTGAAGAATGGGTAGTGTTTTCCTTAAAGAATAAGTGGAAACATCTTTTTCTTAGAAAATATATTTTATATCTTCTATAAAAATGGTCCCTTGAGAGGGCAGTTAAAAGATTAGAAATTACATCTTCTCCAAATAATTTATTAAAAAGTAAAAAGTATGTTTCCTACCATCTTGTAAACTGAATTTTCTCTCTCTTAACTATGGTGAGGAAGGTTGTGGTGATGGGAGGGCCATTAAGACAGAGAGGAAAATAATTAGAATGATGTCTAAAAAGATGTATTCATGTATTTTTAACATAAATTTTCCACAGACTGTGTCAACCTTTTCTTTACAAGCAGAGTCTCCACATTATGTCTCTGTATATAAGAAGGTGAAACCAAGATTAACAAAATCCAAGCTAAGCAATTGCTCTATTTGATGACCCTAATTCATATACAAACTTTGGTATAGATTTAATATATTATTTATGATGCTTTTTATAGGATATAGTCATGCTGTTAGTTCTTAGTTACGCTAATACATCATTATACTTATAAGAAAAAGATTCTCTAAGTATAAAGTATTTTTCTTTTCATAGACACTGTATTCTTCTTCTTTTTTCATTAGAATAAAATAAGGAATTCACTGCTAGAGTTCATCTGTAAGTCTGGCAAATGTATGCAGCATTAGAGCTACAAGTTTATGTTCTCTCCTGAACACCTGTCAGTTCAGTTCAGTTCAGTCGGCTCAGTCGTGTCTGACTCTTTGCGACCCCATGAATCGCAGCACGCCAGGCCTCCCTTGTCCATTACCAAACTCCTGGAGTTTACTCAAACTCATGTGCATCGAGTCGGTGATGCCATCCAGCCATCTCATCCTCTGTCGTCCCCTGCTCCTCCTGCCCCCAATCCCTCCCAGCATCACTTTTCCAATGAGTCAGCTCTTCGCATGAGGTGGCCAAAGTATGGGAGTTTCAGCTTCAGCATCAGTCCTTCCAATGAACACCCAGGACTGATCTCCTTTAGGATGGACTGGTTGGATCTCCTTGCAGTCCAAGGGACTCTCAAGAGTCTTCTCCAATACCACAGTTCAAAAGCATCAATTTTTCGGCGCTCAGCTTTCTTCACAGTCCAACTCTCACATTCATACATGACCACTGGAAAAACCATAGCCTTGACCAGATGGACCTTTGTTGGCAAAGTAATGTGTAGTTTTGTAGAAATATGTCAAAATTTTATATTCAATGCATTTAATCTTAAAAAAAACAGTTACCACAGTTTCCTTTAGATCAATGGAAAACAATGCTTTGAAAGGCAAGATTAACATTTCTCTTTTTCTGCTTAGGTGTTATTCGTCATGTTGGCGATGCCTTGAAGGACCATGCATCTAAGTCTCGAGGAAAGATATGTACCATAGGTATCGCCCCATGGGGAATTGTGGAAAACCAGGAAGACCTGATTGGAAGAGATGTAAGTTCTGGGAGCTTCTCCTCCATGTTACTTCTCATAAAGGGGATATCAAAAGAGTAAAATAAAATTAATCAGGAAAGTCCTAAGTAAGACTTAACTTCCCTCTTGTTTTGAATCAGTAGGGTATCAATCAAATCAATCAAAATATCAATCCAATTTTGCAAGTACTCTTGGCCCAGTTATGTTAAAATTAATGAACAAAATGGGCTCATTGACTGATGCATAATATGGGACTTTTCTTCACCCAGGTCTCCAACTTCTTTGTTATTTGGGTGTCCTTGACCCAAGACAGGAGGCTACAGAGGGAGATTCTTTCCATTCAAACTTGTGGCTTCCCTTTCCTTTGCTAAATGCTTGGGTGAGGAGTGGGCACACTCCTGGGAATCTTTATTCCCCACTCCAGGACTGCTCAGAAGCCCTTGACCAAACTCAGAGGAGTATCACCCTCTCTTTCCTATTCTGATGTCTAGAGCCACACACTGAACAGAGAATTTGATTCTATTTTTTTCTGAGTCATCATCTTGTTTCTGTTCCTTCCAGGGTCTCATTTTTGTTTGTTTAAAACTTGCAAACAAGTCATTCCTTACCTCCCTTTTAGAGTTTTTCTCTGCTACTAACAACTGATTTTCCCCTTATGCAATGCTTTCCAAAATTCCACTGGTATGAGTTAAACTATGCACACAGATTGCGAGGCATTATTCACTTCTTTGTCCCCAATAATTTTAGCAATTAATTATTTATCAATGCTTCTCTAAATCAGATCAATACAATCCTTCATTCCCAATAAAGACCTGCAATACAGAATAATAAATGTGCTGAGCAGTTTTTTCTAAGTAACATGAAGTCTGTTTGGGCCAAAAAAAAAATTTTTTTTTTTAATCAAAGAGGTTGAGAAGTAACTGATCCTAAACCACTTCTTCTATTGTATTACAATATAGTGAAACCATCCTATTTCAGTGAAATATGTGCAGTTTTTAAAATGCAATGCAAAAACTTTGAATTTAAAAGTCAAAGATCATGAAATGGAAGCAGTGAATAAATACTCTTTGAATCCTTCAGAACCTTTAACTAATAAGAAATGTCCATATCTATGCTACCAAATTACATGTAGAAACACAAATCTATTCAGAATATATAGAATAAGGAATAAGATAATTTTATCAGTGTAGTATTCTCTTAACTAAAATGTACTTGCTGTTTTGTATCACATACAAATTAAATATCTCAAGCAGCAATTCCCAGATTGTTATGTTGGCAGAACTGACTGGAAAAGTAATTCTAATTTTTTTCAAAGTATCTGAGACTAGTCTTTGTGGAATATATTTTGGTTAATTCTTGCCTTAGATTCCTATTTGACTTTTAAGTATATATCAGTTGTGAACTAGAACAAATACAGTTCTTAAAGAATTAGAATATGCTAAAATGTCCCCTAATACCAAGAGCATCTAATTGTTCATTTTATTAACAAATGAATTAACTATTTAAAATGTGATGATACAGAAGTCATTTTTAAATGTTCATAGTTTCAATCTCTCTTGTAAACCTGAGTTGTTTTTATTCAGCTTTGTGGAGGGAAAACCATTTTGGAACTTTCTCATGCAGATGAACTGTGAATAAGTGAAAGCTAATTCTTTATTCAAGATAGAGTAGCCACGTAATTAGCTCAGTTGCTTAATCATTTTCAAAGAATGCTGGCACTGCCTTTCTGTGTCATTTTTGTTTGTCTTCTAATTCTATATGATTGCACAAAGTCTGTACTTATATTGTGTTCACTTGCCTTGCTGGATTAGAAAAATCACCTCTAATTCATTTTCCTCCAATTCTAGCTTTTTTTCTTTGATTTTACCTCCTCACATTCTCCTCTTTTTTACTCTCCTTTTCTTTCTCCCTGTATTTCTTACCAGTGCTACACCTATAGGAACTTGTGCCTATGCCAGTAGGGCTTACTTACATTATCTGATTTCCCAATGAAAAACTGGTCTTAATCCCAGTGCAGAGAGCAGAAAAAGCCACTTATAAGTTCAGTAAAATGCGCACATTCGTTGTCCCTTCTTACAGGGGTCTGACAAAGGCAAGTCATGGCTCACCAAAATCCAAGTGAACTTGCAGAGAGATTGAGAAAAGGAAATAAAATTGGCAGGTTGTAGAAAGCACAAGAATAGCAATTGTATTTTTGTTCTTTAGTAAGTCTTTGACCAAGATCTATTGCATTTCAACCATTCTGGCATATTTTCCCCCAAACTGGAAAACCAGAATATGCATAAGATTTCTCAGCCTCTTATATAACAATAGTGTTTGTTTTTCAGTGATAGTGTCTATAAATTATTTGGAACAAAAGTGCTGTTTCTGGTTTACAGGATTTATGACATAGCTTAAGAGACATTGTAATATATGTTTATTATGCTAATGTGATAATTTAAAAGGAATATGATGTCAGACTATCATAAAAGAAGTATTTGAATGAAATATTGGTAGTAACTGGTGAAAATCCCCCCAAAAGTCATTGAAATCGAAGTGTTGTCTGGTAAGCTTTTTTAAGTAGTTACAATAATTTTCATAACTAGCTTGATTTAATACCTTCTATCTTTTTTCTTCCATTTTATATAAACAAACTCACATGTAGTAAACATCAAAAAGGAAACCTTTTGATATCAGACATCAGGTAGCAGAGGAAAACAACCAATATAATAATTAAAATTTCTGGCCATTTCAGAATTCTATCAAAATGCAATCATTTGAAAACATAGGATTGTTCCATTTTTGCTCAAGTGTATATCTATATCCCAAAATAAGATTGAAGTAGCACAAAATAAATGTCAAGGGAAATCTAGGAAATTTACTTGAAATAAATAAAAATATAAGGATAAAAGAAAGGCTCTATATCTAATGCCAAATATTTTATTACAGTAGGTTTATATCCAAACCAATAGAAAATATAGATCATTTTATCTCTATGGGACTGGCTCTCAGTTGAGCCTTTTAGAAGCTGAAAATTCAATTGCTACCAGAGTTATGTTATTGATAGAAGTAGTAGGCATCACAGTTGTATTGCTAGTCATCTTAGAATTTGAATATACCTTTGGAATGGCACCCTAAATGCAAATGCTAGTCCTAAAAATAAAGAAGAAAGTTCAATTTGCCCTAGGGAGTGCTTGTAGGTACTCTAAAGCATTTACCTCCTTTCAAGTCTTATCTCTGAACTGGACTTTAAAGATACAGGACATGTATCTTTGGATTCTGACTTCAAATTAGAGCCACACGCATAGAAGATACTCAGTAAATATTGAGGAAGATGATTGACCATGATGAATTCAGGCTTCTGGGAAAACAAAACATTATGGGGAAAATATATAATAATGAATCTTATCTGGTTCACAACTTTACCACAACTTCATCTCTACTCATTACAGAGCTTGAGCATACTATAGTAATTATAGTGAGGGATTTTTTTACCCAAGCATCTGCATGAAAAACTATTTTCTTACATAGTAGCTCAAATTGGGAGGTGAATTGTGAAAGCTCTACATGTTGGGTAGGGAGACAAACAAATGTGGAGGCAAACAGGCTCTTCTCTAACCCCTTTGAATCAGATGCATGATCCTCTTGACTGAGTGATAGAATTAGCCTTAATTCTTTAAATGTGAATACCTTCACCTCTGTTTAACCAAATCTTTTCAATTAATAAATAAAAACAACAGACTTTAATGAAGAGTAATGCTGGCAAATACTGATATAATAACAATTTTTTGCCCTGCTGTTAGACCTGAAAATGAATATTGTTCAGCTCTTAAGTTTAATTCTACCTCTGTAAGTTTCTGGACTATTCCTACTGCTCCTTTCTTCCATGGCCCAGAATCCTATACTGCCCTCAAACGAAGCTCAAGCCCCCGTTCTACCAAGACGGTTTCCCTGACTTCACCCACAATGTCATATCCCTGATTACAATTCTCCCACAACTATCTTACTCCTCAACTTAATTAAAAACTCATCAAAAATAGGGATTAAATTGTTTTCTTGTTTGTCATTAACCATTAACATGATACTCTGCATGAACATGAGGCATTGACATGTCATTGAAACTCTGAGATTTGATTTCTTTGCCTCTAAATTGACTATAAAAATCACTTGCTCTCTCTGTTTCATACAACTTCCATGAGCATAATCATAATAGTAACTTTAATTTGTGCATGTGTGTGTGTGAGAGAGAGAAAGCTCTTATTTGAGGAAGCTCTCTGACTATATATATTAAGCTTCTGACCTATGTTCTATTTCATAAGAAAACTAATGATTAGAGCCAAGATTCACTGTCTGCAAAGCACATACTCTTAATTAGTAGTATGCCAGGTGGTCTATAAGAAAATATTTAATGATATTATGTTTTTATTGTTAGTTGAGATACTGGCAGGTATTTTATGCCTATCGATTGAACTCAAAAGTAGAATGAAAAAAAGTAGTCTCAATGAGAGTGACCAGAGCCCTTTTCTTTGTCCCTAAAATACTCTCAATCTGCAATTATGATTATGAAAGTGTTGCCAGTGTGAATTGGTAAAAATATGACCTGGGGAACTGAATGGCCTAGGTTTACATCCCAGCTACACAACTTATTACTTATGTAATGTTAGGCAAGTTTCTTAATCACACTGTGTTTAGTTTCACCATCAGTAAAATGGTAAGGATGATAAGGAGACTGAAAACAACAATTTCTGAGTGTCATTATAAGAATTAAATGAATTGTGATTTTTGCATGACTCATTTCAGACTGAGCTTCTTGCTTTAGAAAACAGTCTGGCCAGAATTGTTTCAGGTAATTTAACAGTTTCTGAAGCCTTTATGATTTGTCTTTTCCCAAATTTAAATTAATAAAATACGGCAAATGAAAAATCTAGACATGATTACAAGAAAAAGCACTTTTCATCTTAACCTGAGAATGGAAATTGTGTTTGGGTAGATTTTCAAAACATCATCTCATGTGGTTGTTAAATTATCTTGAATTCAATGAT